GGAGGAATCTTGCCGAGCATCTTCAGCCTGCCCAGTGGTTTGTTTTTGTGGTTAGTTTTTTTCCTTTCTAATAATTTGGGTGGGAACATTAATTGCTCATCTTTTGAGATTACTGTTGAGATACACTTGAACTTTTTCTCAAAGTATGTGGCAAGGAAGTATGAAAACAGGAAACGTCATCTTTTGAGTTCTTAAAGTTCTACTTCAAAAGCCTTACATCATTCTGGAGAAGGAAGGTTGTGTGTCCAGCCTCCTCTCGGACGTCTGAAACAGGGCTCTGCAAGTGTGTGTGTGTGTGTGTGTGTGTGTGTGTGTGTTACAGAGGAGTAGTCAGGTGGGTGATCATCCATTTTACTTTCTAGGAGATACTGAAATTTTTCTGTAATGACATTAATATTTGTCTATATGGTGAGAGTGGTTTGAACACTTGTTTTATCCTAATTTGGGTAACTTGGCCTATTGTCTTGCTCATCCAGGGCTGCCCTTTAGGTAGAACTGCTCTCAAGAGTTAAAACTGTGGGCTCAGCGCCTGTAGCACAGTGGTTACAGTGTTGGCTACATACATCGAGGCTGGTGGGTTCGAACCCAGCCCTGGCCAGCTAAACAACAGTGACATCTGCAACCAAAACATAGCCAGGCATTGTGGTGGGCATGTGTAGTCCCAGCTACTCGGGAGGCTGAGGCAAGAGCATCGCTTAAGCCCAAGTGTTTGAGGTTGCTGTGACTTGTGATGCATGGCACTCTGCCCAGGGCGACAGCTTGAGACTCTGTCTCAAAAAAAAAATGTCTTCTGTGGCTTCTACAGACCCCTGGGAGAGCTTGGGCTTGTGCTTCTGTACTTGCCACCTTGCCTAGCTGCATGCTGTGCCTGCAGAGGGCCTCCTGCCTAGAGTGAGGAGGACTCCTGGGAGCTAAGCTCCTCCCTCAGAGCTCACCCCAGACCCCTCGATGAGGGTAGTTTGTCTGGTGGGGTCATGTGTCTCCCTGGTGAATGATGCCTTAGTGAGAAGTATATACTGGACAGCTTGCCAGGAAGTTCCTTATATGGAAAGTAGAAATAGTAAATTACAAGCAGGGAGAGCTCCCTCCTCCCTTTATACCAAATCATGATGATGTAAGGATAAGTCGATGTCCAAGCAACCGAGAGAATAGTTAGATAATTGGTCAGCAAACTACAGCTCTCGGGCCCAGGCCTGAGTTTGCTTGAAACCCCACTATTCCCATTTGTTTACTCATTGTCTGTGCATCTTTTACACTGTTCTTGCACAGTTGAGTAAGATGCCAGTTGATGTTGATGCCACGGCCCTCTACTGATAACAACAAAGTGAGACTCTGTCTCAAAAAAAAAAAAAAAGAAATGTTTTTAACCTAAAATATCCTGATGGGAGGCCAGGTGTGGTGGCTCAAGCCTGTAATCCTAGCACTCTTGGGAGATCAAGGCGAGAGGATTGCTTAAGCTCAGGAGTCTGACACCAGCCTGAGCAGGAGTGAGACCCCGTCTCTACTAAGTCGCATGTGGCCTACACATGCTAATTTATTTACTGTTGAAAACTAGTCAACTCCAGCTAGGTGCCTGTAGCTCAGACACTAGGGCATCAGCCACATACACTGGAGTTGGTGGGTTCGAATCCAGCCTGGGCCTGCCAAACAACGACAACTGTAACAACAAAAACAAAAATAGCCGGGCATTATGGGGGGTGCCTGTAGTCCCAGCTTCTTGGGAGGCTGAGTGAGGCAAGAGAATCGCTTAAGCCCAAGAGTTGGAGGTTGCTGTGAGCTGTGATGCCACAGCACTCTACCGAGGGTGACATAGTGAGACTCTATCTTAAAAAAAAAAAGTGTATTAAGCATATGCTACATATCAGGCACCAGAAATAAGAGATTAAAATGTTGTCTCCTAAAGAAGTTACAGTTTCGTGAGGAAGACAACACATATCATGTATCTACTATAGTTCAGGATTGCAATTTTAACCTTGTACTGAACACATGAATTCATCCACAAGTGTAAATTCCATGAAAGTCAAACACAACATGAATAATAAAAGTAAGCAATAGAGTTGAATAGGTTTGTAATAGTCTCTCTTTTTTTTCTGGTTAACATCTTATGAACTGTGAGTATGTAAATATTTGCCTGATCTTGGTGAATAGTGAGGTTGAACAAAATACTTTAATCTATATCTGCTCATTAAATGAATATTGTTATTTGATAGGGATGTTGTACCTCTGTAAAAAGGTACCTCTGTACTTTTAGGGCCAGGGGAGATAGCTCACGCCTTTTATCTAGCACTCTAGGAGGCCAAGGCAGGTGGATTGTCTGAACTCAGAGGTTTGAGACCAGCCTGATCCAGAGTAAGGCCCCATCTCTAAAAATAGCCAGGCATTGGAATGGGCTTCTATAGTCCCCAGCTACTCAGGAGGCTGAGGCAAGAGAATCTCTTGAGCCTAAGAGTTTGAGGTTGCTGTGAGCTGTGATGCCATGGCCCTCTACTGAGGGCAACAAAGTGAGACTCTGTCTCAAAAAAAAAAAGGAATGTTTTTAACCTAAAATATCCTGATGGGAGGCGGGTTTGGTGGCTCAAGCTTGTAATCCTAGTACTCTTGGGAGATCAAGGCGAGAGGATCGCTTAAGCTCAGGAGTCTGACACCACCCTGAGCAGGAGTGAGACCCCGTATCTACTAAAAGTAGAGAAATTAATCAGCCATTGTGGTGGGAACCTATAATCCTATACCCAGGAGGCTGAGACAGAAGGATTATTTGAGCCCCGGAGTTTGAGGTTGCTGTGAGGTAGACTGATGCCCTGGCAGTCTAGCTTGGGCAACACAGTGACACTCTGTTGCAAAAAAAAATCCTGATGGGAAATGTAAATACAGGTTGTACTATCTGAATGCTATAAAGAAAGGAAACCATTTATTAGGACTTGTTTCAATAATCTCAGAGTTTTGAATCCAAAGGAGACCTTTTATGGATCAAAGTGTGTAAGTATATAGATTAATGACTTTACAGCAGTGGTGAGGTGTTCTTTTTTTTAATTTATTTTTTTGGAGACAGAGTCTCACTCTACCCTGGCTAGAGTCTACCCTGGCTAGAGCGCCATGGTAGCTGTCAGACCTCACAGCTACCTCTAACTCTTGAGCTCAGGCACTGCTTTTGCCTCAGCCTCCTCAATAGCTGGGGCTACAAGTGTCCACCACAGCACATGGTTAGCTCATCCCCTGGGGTTGATCCTGCTGGAAGAAGCCTCCTGAGCTCTGTCCGCCTTCTCTTGGAATCTTCAACCCACTGTCACTGTTCTTCATCTTCACTTGTCACTGTTTACTGGTATATTTGTGTATTTATCTAGGCCAGGAAGCTTTTTTTTTTTTGAGACAGATTCTTACTATGTTGCCCACGGTAAAATGCTGTGACATCAACCTCCAACTCTTGGGCTTAAGTGATTCTCTTGCCTCAGTCTCCCAAGTAGTTGGGACTACAGGCACCTGTCACAATGCATGGCTATTCAGGAGGCATTTTTTAAAATGCCAAATTAGGATTGCTGTAAACTTCTTTAATACATTGAGAAAACTGCCAGGTTTGGAAAGAATTTATTGTTAAATAGAAGCAAATGTACATAGGAAGAGATTGCCCGTAATCATGAATACCAGTGAGGTCAGGCCTTTCTGGAGGCTCTGTGTTTATGCTGATCCTGGGATTTATTGCCTGCTTATTTTTGTTTTGAATAGAAACTTGATACTGGGATTCAAGGGGAGGTAAGCTTTTGGGTTGGATTACCTTGAAATCCTCTTGTTAAGGGAATATCACTTTGGCTCAGGCTTCCTGGAATTGTTAAAGGTAAAGTCTCACTTTCCCAGGCAGCTGTTTTTGAGTTGGAAATTGAACCACATGGCTTAGAATGACAGAAAAATTAAGATTTTCTATTTGGTTGTAAAAAGAAAAATAGGTT